GGGGGGGGGGGGGGGACTCAGGTAAACGAGCATTTCCGTGTCGCGCTATTGCCTCGCTTGGGCTGGACCAGGAGTTTTACACGGAAAAAACAAGACTAGTGTTGAGCACTACTGGCCGTTTAGTGGGGAGTAGTTGAGGGCCGGCGTCTAAGCTCTGTGCAGCTCAACACCGGAAGGCAGTACAGGTGGGCACTGAACATGAGTAGTGCTAATCAGATGCCGCGAGACGTAGTTGCGCTTAACAGGTGTAAATTCACCCTTGGTATATCGGAGTCACGATAGCCTGGTGGTAACGCGCTGGTCTTCCACCGGCGCAACCCGAGTTCGATCCCATGCGGAGGCGTTTCATATTTTACGCTCGCTCCAAAGTCACTTTAGGGCTTGACACTACTTCTTCCTTAGTGACCCAGCCTCGAGCTGTTTAGTGCCCAGCACTACTCTGACTTGCTGGCTCCATTTGATCTAACCCTCGTTAGTGCCCAGCACTAACATGTAGGTCCCAACCCTAAGCTCGTTTTTTCCGTGTACACTACACGGAAAAAATTCAATTGTTGATTTAACAATTCAATTTTGCTAAAAAAAAAAAAAAAAAGTGACTGCAATATTTTAATGTAGATTACTGAAAAAACGAGATTAGGGCTGGGCCCTAGAATTGCTTCACCTCCACCGCTACAGGGGCAGGCCCTGCGCGGGTAAGGCCCAGCCCTACCTGGACAGGGTCTAGCTCTTACCGGGTATATAGGGCTGAACCCTGAAGCAGGTAGATTTGGGCTCTACGCGCGTCGGGCCTGCCCCTATGGCGGTGGAGGTGAAGCAATTTTACCTACCCGGTTAGGGCTGGGACCTTCGGTGCAGGTACCAGCCCTAAACTCGTTTTTTCCGTGATTGTACAGCAAAAAAATGCTACTTTCACCACCCCCGTGGTTGAATTAGCTTACAATAGTGGTTGAAGTAGCATTTTTTGTTATACATAATCTACTTTGAAATACTGCAGTCACTTTTTCTAGCAATTGAATAGTTAAATCAACAATTTAATTTTTTTTTTTTAGTGTGCAGCTGTAAGTATCGCCCATATTTTCAGGCGCTGTAGGCGCGTTAATGGGCCATTCTTCAATGGACCGCGTTTAGCAGAAAGGAACCAAGCCACATCAGCCATTGCCAAATTTAACTGGACACTTTAATTTGTTACAAGAGGACGTTTGTGCGGATTCGTTCGAAAATGTTATAGTATTTGCTTCGTACAATGCAGAAAATTCACTGAAATTTGCGTGCAAATTCGCTCAACCGTTTTCATGAAGAAAATTAAAGTACCCAATTAAATTTGGCAATAGCTGATCAGTGGCGAGGCGTGAATGATCGATTATCGATATTTCCTCATTTAAGCTATGGTAAAGTATTGATTATTAGGGTGTTTGCTGTGAACAGCCTAATAATCGATCCTTTTCCATAGGTTTAAATGGTAGATCAATCTATATATCGCAAAGCACACCGCGCCACTGTTAGCTGATGTGCCTTGGTTTCTTTCTGCCTAACGCGGTCGAAATACCGGTAGTTTCAAAGGACGAAAGGGGGACGGAGCTTACGCAAGGGGGGGGGGCGACCACTACATATCTGCATTTATATTACAGCAAGTATACCTATCACTAATGGTAGGATGTAACAACTTGATAGACTTTTTCGCAATGCATCTTGTTATTTTCCCATTGAAAATCAATAGAATTCGTCATAAGAATCTTATTTGCAGTTGTGTATTCTCTTATTTTTATCTGTTGTTTTCCTCATAAACTGATGCTAGTCTTGCTGAAGAATTAGTTACATCGCAACGTATCTTTGTTCGCCCTGACACTCATCGGCCATCATCAAGAAAATTCCATGCTTAATAAGTTGCTCATCAATTAGGCGAAAAATATCGTTGATCTCCAAGCGCAACTTTTTCCTCGCTCGATCACCTCAGAATAGGACTTGTTCTGCAGTGCGGGCTTCCAAAGTGTCCCAGGGGCTCCAAAAGCCTCTAATGCTAAAATTCTACCAATTCCTCAAGTCGATTCTGCCAGAGGGATGGTTACCTGCACCAGTATATAGTAACGTTCACCTTTCTTCTGGCAGAATTAACCCTAAATTGACGCTGTGTGAAATACAGCGCGAAGGAATGGTAAATTCTACCAATCTCTTTTTTCAGTGTCATCAGATGTTAACGAAGAAGATAGGAATTACTGCGTGTTCTACATCGCCATTTCGTCACCTACCGGTCAAAGTATCACAAACGCCAGGCGACGTATCAACATTTCCGCCGCCGTTTTATTGTTTTACAGAGAAATTGTTTGACGAAGCTGTCAGAAAATGTCACTGAATTTTCTTGGTGCTGGTGAAGAAATTCTGTGAAATGTTCGAACAGATGCAACCACCAATTTCTCTGTAAAAAAAATAAAATGGCGGCGGAAATTTTGAAACGCATGGCGCTTTTGGCACGTTGGCCGGAAGGTGACGATTTTGGATCGGAAATTTATGGAAAAAGTGGCCGAAGCTCGGCGCACACTGGGCTCGGAACTTGTCGACCTCACGGAGAAAAAAACTTCGTGCGTGGGACCAGAAGTTGAGGTCATATGGATCTCTGAAGTTTTCGGATCACGTATCTAAAATTTTGAGGTCGAGCTGCCGAAGTTCGGGTCAGACATCTGAAATACTTCGATACATACCCTGGTAAAAATTGGCAGTAGAATCTGTGTTCCAAAATACCATAGACCCACAGCCGGTGGCACGCTGCGGCGCGGCAGGCGGGCAGCCAGCACGAAACGCGCACTGGCGCCTACAAACCTAACAGGGATACTTCACGCGTTGCGCAATGCGTGAAGTATCCCTGTTAGGTTTGTAGGCGCCAGTGCGTCGCCGCTCCGCTTTGTGTTAGGCTCTAATATTGAATCTGGCGGAGTCAGCGTTATTCAACTCATGATTTTGAAATGTTTGCACATTCTGTATGGATTATTCCCGTTTTAATTGTTGAAAAAAATATGTAGTAAAGGAAAATACAATGTGTGCTTTGTAAATATTAGGTGGTTCCGTATCAAACTAATGATTTCCAAAGCACACGAATTTCTACACAATTTCTTATAGCCTTTTATAAGCGATGGCGAAAATGCAACAGCCAGGCGAAAAAGTGTAAAGCCCGGCGATAGGAACCATCGCATAATTTTTTATCGCTTCGTATAGCCCGGCCGTATGATTTTCTCCGCATTCTACAGCCAGCTATATGATTTTCTGTAGCCTTCTTTAGCCGGCTATAAGAATTCCTATGGTATTTTGAAACGCAGCTCTTATCGCCAATTTTTACCAGGGTACCGAAGGGTTCGGGTCACACATCTCAAGTACTCCGGTACATACCGAAGTGCCTCGATGTCTGATCCGAACTTCGGCAGCTGGACCTCGAGTTTTCGGATGCGTGATGAGAAAACTTCAGAGATCCATATGACCTCAACTTCGGGTCCCACGCACGAAATTTTTTCTCCGTGCAGAACATAGCACAAGCTCTCCCATTTACATTACGACTCTGTGTACTCTATGATGTTACTCTGCACGGAGAAAAAAACCTCGTGCGTGGGACCCGAAGTTTAGGTCATATGGATCTCTGAAGTTTTCAGATTGAGCATCTGAACACTTTAGATCTAGCTGTCGAGGTTCGGATCACACATCTGAAACTTCAGTTCTTACTTCTGAAGTACTTCAGATGTGAGAAACGAAGTTTTTCGCATGTGAAAACCGAAGCACTTCACATGTAAGAACTGAAGTTTCAGATGTGTGATCCGAACCTCGACAGCTAGATCTAAAGTGTTCAGATGCTCAATCCGAAAACTTCAGGGATCTATATGACCTAAACTTCGGGCCCCACGCACGAAGTTTTTTTCTCCGTGTACCTCAACTTCGGGTCCCACGCACGAAGTTTCTTTCTCCGCGCAGAACATGGCGCAAGCTCTCCCATTTACATTACGACTCTGTGTATTCTATGATGTTACTCTGCTGGAGCATGTTCCTCTACATTCTGTGTATGATTTTGAGAATATTTTCTTTTGGCAGACGTACGTGATGCGGGTGCGGCTGGACGGGAGCGAGGAGGACGTGCACGACACGCGGATCGAGCGGCGCTACACGGACTTCCTGGAGCTGTTCTCGCAGCTGAAGCAGGAGCAGCCCGCGATCATGGCCCAGATCAGCTTCCCGAGGAAGCTCCTCGTGGGCAACTTCTCGCAGGAGTCGATCGCCTGCCGGAGCACCTCCTTCGAGTACCTCCTCCGCTTCGTCGCCGTCCACGACAAGCTCAAGCTCAGCCCCACCACCGTCGCCTTCCTCCAGCAGAAGGAGATGACCGAGGTCCGACATCACATCGCCAACCAGCAACACTCACTCGTAAGTTCTCGCAATATTCTCTCCATCTTCAATAAAATAATAAATCAAAATAATATGGGGTAATTCTAAGGTAAAATTTGTTAAACTCATTTTAAGTTTTAATTTTTGTATCCATAGATTATACTCACCTTATATATAAATATCAAAAGATTAAAATGCAAAAATGATAATAGACAACCACTTTTTCCATTTAGTAAAATATAGCCCATGACCTCTTTTAATCCTCTTTGCGTCCTCAGTGGAGCTCTTCAATGTGTGGGGGATACTGTGCAAAAACAAAAAAATGGGAAAAAATGGGGGGGGGGGGGAATGAGAAAAATGCCTCCCGGACGAGATGCACTGGAAAAAAAACCACATTGGATGTAGAGTCTAGACTCTTAAAAACATCGACAAGAAAAAGTACTCTTGATTAAATCAGATTTAAGCTTAAATCAAGAACCAAGCCTCTTAATTTGAGCGGATTTCCTTTTGATTTAAGCTTAAATCTGATTGAATCAAGGGTCCTTTTTCTTGTCAATGTTTTCAAGAGTCTGGACTCCAGATCCAATGTGTTTTTTTTTTCCAGTGTGAGGTAATCCGCAGGCATTTTAAGGCACTTGATCTGAATATAATTCTTGTTTTTTGCGTCCAGCGGTTTTTCCAGCGTTTATGTAACCGCCTCCTCAATTTGGCTATTGCACAGGGCCGACGAGCGTTAAAAACGCAATTAAATTATAATCCAACCTCAGGGTAAAATTTTAGGAGCCACTTTGGCTGGTAAGTGTAATTTTTCGGGACCAATCATAATTCGTATGGGCCAAAATGATTTTTTGCATACGTTCTACCTATCAAAGCGCATAAAATTTTGCGCACTGAAAAGAAATTGCTTATCAATTATTCCCGGACGTGACCACGAAGAGGTCGTGAAATTTTCCAAAATCGGACCAGTTCGTACTACGGACTTGGGTCCTTCTCTCTCCAGGGGGAAGGGCGGTGGTAAGACAAAGAAAGAAAGAGCTTAACCCTAGTATTCCTGATGCCATCCTCACTGGAAAAAATATTGGTAGAATTTACCAATCCCTCACCCTGTATTTCACATAGCGTGAAGGAATGGTGAATTCTACCAATATTTTTTTTCAGTGCATGGGTAACGATCCGCTGTCCACATGCTTAATCCAAGAAAAATCTCATGAGAGATCGATCAGTCGCTCCCTTCCGACCAAAGTATCACAAGCGCCATTTGATGTTTCAAAATTTCCACCGCCATTTTATTTTTTTACGGAGAAATTGCTCAACGAAGCAGTCCGAATATTTCACTGAATCTTCTTTGTGCTGCCGATAAATTTCGGTTAAATTTACCAACAGATTCAACCAACAATTTCTCTGTAAAAAAATAAAATGGAGGCGGAAACTTTGAAACGTGACATGGTGCTTGTGATACTTTGGCCGGAAGGTAACGAAATATTCTTTTCAGGTTGCAAATACCATGAATTTTTACTGTGAAAAAGTAATTTTTAGCAGCAAAATATCACAACGAAAGCGACATTCGATGTCTTTGTATATTCATTGTGGTGTCTCTAAATGCGCACGCTCTCCCTTAATTTTTTCAAAAAGGATGAGCAGAGAGTTCGTTCTGGAATGCAGACTCAGACCGCCCCCAGCGTTTCCTTATCCACAGCGCCTGTGCATTATGTAATACTTAAACGTTCCTCCTCCTTCTCTACGCAGAGGATCGAACATAGATTTTTTCCCCTCGTCAGACGGACCAAAGTCAAGTCTAGCCGATGTAAGGTCGCTGGGGTATTACATAAGCTATTTTTCTTGATTTTTGACCCCCTCTTTCCTCCTTCTCCTCCTCCCTTACCTTCACACGTCCGTAAAGCAGCCATGGTTCCTCTCTAATGGGTCCTGATTTTTGCATGGAATCTGAGGAAAAATCAGTGGAATTCTCTATTAGGAACGCCCAAGATTTTCCTGGATAATCTGCGATTTGCCAGGGAAAATTTGGCAACATATTGAGATGGAGTTACGTTCTTTCGTCGAGGATGCGACGCATTGTGCGTCCGCTATTCTCGAAGGTATGGATTCGATCGGTATCATCCGATCAAAAATAAAAAGACGTAAACCGATCGACGTCGATTCGATCGATAATGGAGATTTTGCATGTGTGAGGAATTTGCGATTTGACCACTGATTCTTGCGTAAAAGTTCGCTAGAAACACGATGGTGCCACTGGTTTTCTCTGAAATTAACTCCCAAGCTCAAATAAAGCTCTCAAGTTGAGGCCAAAATGGCCGGGGATATCCCAATTATCTCACCCTACCCTGAGAGTCCACCTCTACATCAAGACGAACTCTCCGTGCAAAGATGGGGAGCAAATACATTAGCAGGGTTGCCATGTTTTCAGTTTTAGAGTCCCCAAATAAAGTGGCAGCCCTGCTAATGTATTCGCTCCCTATCTTTGCATTGAGAGTTTGTGGTGATACGGAGGTGGACTCTCAGGGTCGGGTGGGATATCCCCTCCATTTTGGCCTCAACTTGAGAGCTTTTTTTGAGCTTGGGAGTTAATTTCAGAGAAAACCAGTGGCACCATCGTGTTTCTCGCGAACTTTTACATAAGAATCAGCAGTCAAATCGCAAATTCCTCACACATGCAACATTTCCAATGACGGATACCTAAAAAACGGTGTCGAAAAACCGATGACATGAATCGATCGACACTAATTTGATGTACGTCCGTGAATCGATCGACAACACCGAGAATCGATCAAAGCTGTGTGGATCGAGTCGATATCGATCCGTTCACGATCTCGTTTTTTGATCGATTCATATCATGCCGATCGATTATCCCCCTTATCCTCCGGGTTATAACAGCTTCTGAGCCGATTCCAATATGAAACGCGATTGTTGAGCCCGAGGGGCACCAGCGACTCGATTCTTGAATCGATATCGAATGACCTTGATCGATATATAGCATTGTTAAGATAGGTATTTATCGAACAGGATCATTCGATTCGATAACGATTCAACAATCGAACTGCAGCTCAGCGCAGCGCTCGCTGTTGATCAACTCTGCCGTGCTTAGGAAGAACGCCGTATGAGCATTCGAGAGTTGCCAAATTTCTCCGGAAAAAACATGTATTTTTGACGAAAGTCATGTATATTTTTCCGTGAAATTTTCGCATGTTGCGAACAAAATTATCTGAAAAAGTTGGGGGGGAAAATAAGAAAAACTTTCCAACATATTCGGATTTTCGTAAAGGAAATCTGGCAACGTTTAAAGGCTCATACGGCGTTTTTCCTTAGAACGGCAGAACAGTTGCACTGTAAGTACCCTGAGTCAGAATAATCGGTCCACGTGGAACTTCCTTTTTGATCTCGTAATTAGACGTAATCGCCCGGAGAGTTAAGCGGTCGAGGCTCTGCTAGCCCTGCTCGCTCGCTCGCGGTCCGCGCCACGGACGGGGGTAGGTCTGGGGCAGTGGCGTGGCGTGCTTTGCGATTTATCGATTGTTTTACCATTTAAACCTATATGGAAAAGGATCGATAAACGGGGTGTTCGCAACGAATACCTTAATAATCGATTCTTTACCGTAGGTTTAAATGGCATAACAATCGATAAATCGCAATTCACGCCTCGCCACTGATCCGGGGGTGAGGGATTCTCCGGATAAGCCCCTTTAAAACCCCTTTTCGAGCCCTTTACACCCCCGCCCTCCGCCCGTTATTGCCCTCGACGCTCGAGCGATCGCCGACCGCGTAACCACCTCGTCGTTGGTTTTAGTTGCGGGAGCATTTCTCCGAATTTGAGTTACATTTGAACCGAGTTTAACGAGGAGCCTAGTACGTGGGCACACTTTCAAAGCACGTATCGTCACCTTCCGGCGAAAGTATCACAAGCGCCATGCCACGTTTCAAAGTTTCCGCCGCCGTTTTATTTTTTACAGAAAGATTGTTGGTTGAATCCGTTTGAAATTTTCACTGAATTTTTATATTCCGAGGCAGCACGAAGAAAATTCAGTGGATTTTCGTATAACTTCGTTGAAAAATTTTCGTGTAAGAAAATAAATTGGTGGTGGAAATTTTGAAACGTCGCATAGCACGTGTGATACTTTGGCCGGAAGGTGTCGATATCTGTATGGGAGAATGAATTGAGAATGTGCCGTTTCTGGAGGCCAAAAGAGTTGGTTCTTTTTATTTGCATTCGGTGCATTTTTCTTGTACCTACGTTTCGGCCATAATGTTCCTTTTGGCCCACACCGGAACTTAATTTGGTTAGAGTTAAGAGAAGAAGGACCAATCCATAGTTTAGGAAAAATTAAGTCATGAGTAGTTTAAAATTCAACTATAGGCATGCACTTTTTCTTGTCAAATATTAAAAAAACAAATCTATGCCGGAAAAAGTATCCAGTTTCCTGAGGTTTTTTTTTATTTTTCTTATTTTTCATTTTATTTTCATTTTTTTTAGTCTTGAATGACTTGAGAAAAGTTTATTTTTATTTAAAAAAAAAAAAAAAAAAAAAAAAAAAAAAAAAAAAAAAAAAAAAAAAAAACAGAACTAAGGAATGATCGCGGATCTGGTTTTTCTTCTCCTATGTTTTATTTGGAAAATTGATTACTTAGTTTTTACAATGTATGCACTTCAATTATATGCTCCGTTTGCTTAGTGCTTTTATTGCAGTTTTTGTCTTTTTCTTGCCCTCGTGTCGCGCGTCTGCGCGGAACTTACATTCGCGCCTACAAGACTGCAGGAATACTTCACGCGTTGCGCCAAACAGCACGGTCGCCCGTTGTCGGCGCGAACGCATATTAGCGCCTACAAGACTGCAAGAATACTTCACGCATCGCGCCCAACACAGTGCGTTCGCTCGTCGCTCGAGGAACGCAGTAATGAACTTTTTACTCCTGAAAACAAAAGTTATTCCCTCTTTTGGGAGGATAAGAAGGAGGGGTTAGACGTTAGAGGAAAATAGGAAGAAGAACAAAAATTCATGAGAGGGAAAAAACAGGCAAAAAGAAAT